AGAGATTTGCTGTATTGTATATAAAAGTGATGTTTTATTCAGTATTTTAACATTACAAAGTGACTTCAGAGGGCGCTACCTCAAAAGGATTTTGTACTTAACTCGAAAAAAGTGTAAAAAAAAAAAATGTCAACAGCAAGTTTATCGATAATAGTGCTGCCATTTATAATAAGGGTTTTTGATAGTATTTTTGATCTTTGTATAACATGATTGTATTTTCATTTTGTTGCATTTAACACGACGGAAGTGAATTTTCCAAGAAGCTCTTAATAAGCGTTTGCTCACCACATGGTGATTGTCTGTACATAGTAATGGTTACACTCATACTTTTTAAAGTTTAGTTGTTCAATGTTACATTCTGAAGGGTGTGTAACAGAGCGGATATTGAAAAACAAAGTGATGATTGACAGAATCTTTTGCCACTTTTAACAGAGTTTTCTTTCTTTTTTTTCTGGATTAAATGAATAAGAGTTAATAGAAAAGAAACACTGTTGAACTTTGTTATTTATATTTTACCACAATTTTCCTGTATATGCTGCTGTGCAGAATAACAACATATGAATTCACTAGAGAAATAAAAAACTTATCAAATATGTGTAGCCTTGTGGTCATTGTGTGTGTGTGTCTGTTTTTTTTCTGCTCCTCTGTAGATCACAGGATGTGGAAGAGTCTCAGGTTCCAGTTCCAGACTGAGTGATGTTGTGGTTTACAGACGGAATGATAAGCCAGAGGGAGTTAAACATACAGTACATGGTGTAATATTTAGCTACATCTAGTGGTTAAGTTGTGTTGTGGTTCAGTACCTTCCCAAAAAATGTTAATGGAAAAAACATGGCGATTCAACATGGCTGCCTACATGAAGAAGACCCACTGATAATGTCAATGAAAAGCAGACATTCAGTAAAAAGTACAATGAAAACTAGTTAATTATAGACTCATTAACCATCTATGAATATTTGTATAGATCTAAGAATGACAATATTTTGGATTCCTGTTAGCTATCATACCACTAATATTAAACTCTCGATCTTTTTCTGGGCTAACTCGAAGGCAATATGCCTTTCTTCCTCACTTGTGCAGCCCAGTTTTAATTTGCAATTTTTCATAAAGCAGCTAATAAATCAAAACAACTAACTGGGACACATTACGATGCATTATTGTTGCTTTGTGAATGACTCAAAATAAGGCTATGGCCAAAAACCTGCTTTATGGGCAAAATGAGAGTTAGGAACTTGCTTTGTAACCAAAGTTTAAAACTATGAAAAGCTGTGTCTGTTTCCTTTTTACAATCTAAAGCAAAACCACATTTACAGCTCTGTTAACTCCATGCCTTAATAAGTCACTCAAACACAGGCTGTGTGTGGATTAAGTGCTAAGCTCTTGTGCGTGTGCTGCAAACAAACGTTCGGTAAAGAAAATCTCTCGCTGTAACATTTGCTCTGAGGAAAACCTTTGCCCGCTCTCTCAGAGATTGCTCTCTGAAGGACGAACACAGTGCCATGCTTGTTTCCAGCTCGGCCTACACTTGAATATCTTGGCTTCTGCTTCAGCATTTGAACAGATCATGTTTGCAAAGAAGCTGATTGAGAGGCTGGCCCTCTGCAGGCTTCACTGCCACTGACATCTTTGAATCATATTCTCTGGAAGGTTATGGAAACAAAGGAAACAAATTGAACCACTTGAGTGAGCGCAATACTGTTTATATTGGCAAGATACACAATACTGCCACGTCATTCCTGTCAGTTTTTGTCAGTTTGAAGGCCTACATTTAGCTGTAGTTGCTATACATTTAGCTAACGTTATCTATTTTGGATCAACGTTGTGATTTTTTCAGCTAATATGTAGCTTCTCTGTATTCAGCCCAACTGGTGTGTGTTTGAGATACCTAGAAGGATTTTTTTTTCTTCTTAAAACTTGGTTTTGTTTTTGTAATGGTTGACTTTTTTCATCAGCTAATAGCAACTTTTGGCTAATATCTCATATATTGAGTGTTACCTATGCTTCTTCCTTTCTTGGTTGCAACGTTTACAGGTCATCTTTTACTGCAATAATCTGTTTCCCTGCCTTTTAGCTTGCTACCTTTGTGTAGCCACCCTAAAGCTAACTCAAGCTACCCAATTTGTCTGGGCTAATTGGTAGACATTTTTGGTTGACTTGAGGCCATATTTTTACATTTTACTCGCCTGAATGTACATTTTGCAGCTCTGGCAAACCACCCATAAACATCCCTTGTGAACCATGCATTTTCTTCTGCTTAAGTGTTGAAGCTGTTAGAGCCCAAAGAACACAATTACAGTACAACCACAATGATTCCATGAAGGGTTTTCCTCTCTTTGAGTTTGTCTCAAAGGGAAAACAGCAACCTCATAAAAGCTGCTGACACTGCATCAAGACAACTGTACGTACATTAGCCTGAAGCATCTGAATGCATGGTGTCATCCACACCTTGGCTGTTCCTCCCTCTTTGCTTCCCTGCCTCCTTCTGCTCCTCTCCCTCCTGTATTGGTGCATCTCTCCAGCTGAGACCGTGGCATTAAAAATGGATGACTACTAAGTGCAACAGGGATTTATCTCTGTGAGAACAGTGGTGAAAAGGCCTAGCGGGCTTGCGTTTCAGGCGAACGCAGCCAGCTAACAGGTCTTATTCCCTCTATGCCTCAGCGTCCATTAGCTCACTCTGCAGACAGGGCCCATATAATCTAGTTAGTCCCACCATTTATGTATCTGTCATGATCATATAATGTGTCTTAGCTGGACGGCTGGTTTGATGTGCAACGTGCAATTTGTCTTCCCGCAATTCAAATCTTTCTGCAGAGCTGGAAAGACAGGAGTGTTAGCAAACAGTTAAGTTTAAAGATGAGAATTTATCTTTCTCTTTTATCTCAGGTGTTTAGTTATCACCCAGAATGCGGCCACTGGATTCCTCCCTGGGCAGGTCATTAAGATTTAGCTAATGCTCTGCAGCAGTAGTTAGTCTTTGCTGTTAATGTCTTTTACAGGATTCATTAATTCTCACTGGTCTTCACTGCAGTGCACGGAAGGAAAGAGCTTTACAGTCGAATGGCTGCAGTTAGTGTACAGTAAATTGGTGGTTATGGAGTTTAATTGGTAAACGTTTCACCACAAGACTGTTAGATCGGCATAAGTGCTTTTTAAACATACACTTTAATAAATGGACTCGGCATTGGAATCAGAGACTGAAGGAGCAGACTCTGTTTCCAGAAAAGCTGGAACGTTGTTTGTGTTTCAGCATTAAATACATTGAAATAATGATCTAAAGTTAACAATAATCTTATATATCTTATTATACTATATATATATATGAAATATATATATATATATATATATATTTCATCGCTTCCACACTCAATTGCTGGCAAAGCGAGATAAACTTTGCCCTACAGTCAAACAACTGGTCAAAATAAATAGTTATTTCTTAATATGTACTGCCACTGAAAATAAAAAATAAAACATCGAAGTAATATATTACATTTAACTCAGTAACTTCACTTTTAAAATGTCACTTTTTTTTATTGGGGAACCACCGCCACAATGACTTCATTCCCTTTGTTTTGTAATGACATCAGCTGAGCTCACCAGTTCCTGTTTTTGCAGTTTTGGTCTGCAGAGACAACAGTCCTCTGCAGTAAATAACAACATGTCTTCTCACTGTTGTGACATTTTGACCTTTTGTTGACCACTGGTGTCAAACATAAGCCCCTGTGAGTTGGTACGGTAATGCAAGTGCAAACATGTAATTTATACAGCACTTCTCTCTTTCACTGACCTGATTATGCTGCAATATAGGGGAGTGACTGAGAGTGATCTGGATAATGTACGCACCGCTTCTGTCAGATCCCACATGATGACATACGGCCCTCAATCACGGCACACTGTAGAAGCTAGATTTATGCCTTCTGGCTTTACACAATCCAGCGATGATTAGAAAATGAAGTCTATGATGCAATTAAATGAACGATCAGTTTAAATATTAATAAATAGAAATCCGATCCTTGCTGAGACAAATCCAACTGTAGAGCTACAGCATAGTATGTGGGGGTGTGAGTATGCCAGTATTCTATGTAAATATTGCATGTAGATATGTGAGAATATTTATAACCATATCATATAAATCTGTGAATTATAGGTGGAGATGGATTTTCTGGAGCATATGCCCACGTATGACTGGATATTAACATAAATAAATATAACTATTCACATTACAAACACTGAAATGAATGAAAGTGCGATGAGCTGTTTATAATGGTCTTTGTGGTTTTGAATGTGTGAATGTGTTGAAGGAGTGATGGTATGTCAATTAGCCATTTTGCAGATTAAATTGTATCAGTTTTGTTTTCAGATTATTTTTGTAATGCTTTTCGTGTTTTGGATTTTGAAGGTTTTTAGTTTTATCTACCCACTGGTACACTATGAAGAAGACAAGTATTGGGTCAGACTGTATATATGAGTTGTGCAGTCAGACGGACTGATGGGTTCTGGGTAGTGGTGGTGCTACATTAGAAATCAGCTTTAACCTCTTCCATACTGTGAAGTAGAATAAACATGTTAACATATTTTAAGTTTACATGGTTTGGATATGTACTGGAAAGATGGTGGCTATATTTCAGGGATGTTGGAGCTGCCAAACAAAGGCAAAAAAAGATAACCCCCTAAAGGAAGTACGTGATTACAGTGAAGGAGCAGCAGATGAATGGTGTGAAAATAGAGGTGGTGAGAAATAGTGTGAGAGTTTCGGAGAAAAGGAAAATGCTTGAAGTGTAGACTCAACTATCTATTTTTTTTTCACACTTTACTATATTTTTACTCTCTCCAGGTGAGATATTGCAATGTTAAAACCCATATCGAACTCATTATTGAATAAATCTGCCTTTTGGCAGTGATACACAAAGGAGCTTATCACTGCAAACCAAATGTGTTCCATTCAAGTCAAACCCAATTCTAAT